CTAATTTTTCAACGTTAGCAAAGATATAAAAGAAACAAGCACTCATGCCTGTAAATAATATGCTCTACCATTCCTAAAACATTAAATTAATTATAAGTAACTGTGACAAAAGAGCAAATGTTGAAATTGTTGTTTTATTTTCAATCCACTTACTCATTGCAAATTGGACATTTTAGATACATAACACATAAACTTTTATTAAAACAAAATCAAAACCAAACTGATTACTTCCATAAGACCCTTGTGGCATGATGATCATATCATGAAGTCACGAGGATTTTATGGACATAATCAGTCTGGTTTTGATTTTGCAATAATAAAAGTTTATACTTTTTTAATGAAAAATACAAATGTGTATTGTATATTTGGCACCTAAAAAGTCCCATTTGCTGTGAATGAGTTGTATTTTGATATGGTAAGGAATGTGGTGCCCTTTAGCACCCACCAATCAGATTTATTTAGATTCTTTCTTTTTCAATCATGAATTGTAACCTAAAGCTCAACTCCAGCCCAGTTTTTATTTTTCAGCTTTGCATAGAACCTTCTGCTAAAAGCTGCTTGTGTTTTATGTTCTTCTTCTATCTATCGCCTGGACAGAAAGTGTGGGGAAATATATCAATGAAGATGGAGGGCTTAACCCTTCTTTAGTCTTTTTATGGCTGTCTATGTTGCCACAATAAAAATCCTTCCAACTTTTTGGTTTGCCTGGCACCCATTAAAAAGTCTGGACTTGCTAGGAAATCTTCCAGCCAGCAATGAAAACCTGTCATCAACTTTTACACTTTTCTAAAAGTTGTGCTGGAGTTAGAATTTTATAGTACACCCTGAGCAAAGACTGACTGTATTATGACATTGCTCCTGCATGTAATCTCTGTCAACTTGGAAATATTCCTTCGATCTAAAAGGTTAGTCCAAGGTCCTGAGGGGACTTTAACTGCAGCGTTCTGTTAAACTCCTGAACAATTTTGCATCAGCTCAGCATACAAATCACTAGTAAAAGCTATGTTCCTCTCAGATATGGGGATTCTCTTAAAAAATAGACTGCCAATAGTGACAAATCAAAGCCAGGAAATTATAAGCTGCTAAGCAAGACTTTTGTTTGTGCATTCTTGAAACCAGTACAAAGGATGCCATTTGCTGTCAATATGTCCTTGTGAAACAGCAATTTTAACAAACTAAAATGATTCATTTTTAGCTGTAATAAATTAAAAATTGGACCAAGGAAAAGCACTATATGGAAAATTAGGATTTTTTTTTTACAAGGATCCATTACAGATAAATTGGTGTTTGTAAAGGGAATATCTTTAAATGTCTATTACTGTTTATATGCGAAATATTCTAATGTAATTTATTGCTCCATCTATGGACATTTTCTTTAAAAAATACAATACCAATAGGGATGAAATGCAAGGCAGGAAATTATAAACGGCAAAGCAAGACTTGTGTTCACGCACACCTGAAATTAGTACAAAGGGTGACATTCACTGTTAATATGACCTTGTAATCAAGCAAAAAACTAACATGACTACATTTGAGCAGGTTGAAAGTTGAAAAGTGGACCAAAGAAAAGCATTATATGGTATATCAGGAGTTTCAAAAGAATCCATTACTATCTGTAATATATTAATGGTTGGAAAGAGAACATATTATTAAAGATCTATCACTGCATACTGTATATGCACAATATTTTACTATAAAAAAGATGTATATTTATAAAATAACAATATTACAGGGATTGAATAATCATTGGTCATCATTGGTCCTGGAATTGGAGGAGTTGCTTAAACTACAGGTGAATCTTGTTCTTATAAAATGGCACACTATATTGGAAAGTCATTACCTGATTTTCTGGCAGGCATACAATAAACTGCCTTTTACATTAATAAAGGTAAGTTGATGAATAGATGGTAAATTGCTTGAGCTGCAATTGCTTTATAATTTCAGGATAATGATTATATAATTTGGGCTTTGAGTTATTTGTAGCTTTAAAATGCTAATAATACAGTGAAAATAAGACCCTTCAGTGAGTGAAATACTGAGCTAGTTAGACATAAAATGTCAAACTCAATTTCTACACCATATCAGGATGCCTTACCTATGCATATATATTGGTTGTATTATTAATTTATGAATTTTTTTCTTTGCTGTATACATATTCACAGTTCTCGACATTTTATGCCCATTAGAAACTAAAAATAGATTTTAAAAGATGTAATTAATGACAAACTTATTTCAAATATCATTTAATCCTCAGGGGTCCAAAATCTATATTCTTAATTGAAAGAAAAAATTTAAGGAGAATTTACATTGTTTTAATATATGATATCGGAAAATTTACAAGGAATCTTTACATGGATGTTTTTCACAATTGCACAGCAACCAGAAATAACTTTATTTTTAGATCAGCAAGCATGCTCACTTGTCCAGGTGGTAATAAGGAGACCAAGTTTCTGCACTTTATTAAATTAGAACCATATGATTTAATTTGGTTTTGATTCCCAGGAAGAAAGAGATTATCGGTTATGAGTTATCTACTCTCAGTGGTTGCATGGAAGCCAATGCACTAAATGTTATTTTAGATGAACTCTAGGCAAACAACTAAAATACACAGTTGAAAAATAAATATATTGATAAACTGTTTTACTCCACAAAACAATTTTAGCTTAGTTCAGCCAATCCTGAGAAATATCCAGCCCTTCCAGACATTGACAGTGTTCAAAATTTTCTCTACTGCATTTAGGCACTAAAAGTTGGTCACTTGACTACTTTCAACCTGTGACTGGACACTGAAGAGGCAGCATCCTTTATGAGCACATGTGCATGTAATACAGGTAAAACTCAAAAAATTGGAATATTGTGCAAAAGTTCATTTATTTCAGTAATGCAACTTAAAAGGTGAAACTAATATATGAGATAGACTCATTACATGCAAAGCAAGATAGTTCAAGCCGTGATTTGTCATAATTGTGATGATTATGGCTTACAGCTCAAGAAAGCCCCAAATCCACAATCTCAGAAAATTAGAATATTGTGAAAAGGTGCAATATTCTAGGCTCAAAGTGTCCCACTCTAATCAGCCAATTAAGCCATAACACCTGCAAAGGGTTCCTGAGCCTTTAAATGGTCTCTCAGTCTGGTTCAGTAGGAATCACAATCATGGGAAAGACTGCTGACCTGACAGTTGTGCAGAAAACCATCATTGACACCCTCCATAAGGAGGGAAAGCCTCAAAAGGTAATTGCAAAAGAAGTTGGATGTTCCCAAAGTGCTATATCAAAGCACATTAATAGGAAGTTATGTTGAAGGGTAAAGTGTGGAAGAAAAAGGTGCACAAGCAGCAGGGACGACCGCAGCCTGGAGAGGATTGTCAGGAAAAGGCCATTCAAAAGTGTTGGGGACTTTCACAAGGAGTGGACTGAGACTGGAGTCAGGGCATCAAAAGCCACCACACACAGACGGATCCTGGACATGGGCTTCAAATGTTGCATTCCTCTTGTCAAGCCATTCCTGAACAACAAACAACGTCAGAAGCCTCTTACTTGGGCTAAAGAAAAACAGACCTGGTCTGTTGCTCAATAGTCCAAAGTCCTCTTTTCTGATGAGAGCAACTTTTGCATCTCATTTGCAAACCAAGGACCCAGAGTAAGGAGGAAGAATGGAGAGGCACACACTGTAAGATGCTTGAAGTCCAGTGTGAAGTTTCCACAGTCTGTGTTGATTTGGGGAGCCATGTCATCTGCTGGTGTTGGTCCACTGTGCTTCATTAAGTCCAGGGTCAAAGCAGCCATCTACCAGGAGATTTTGGAGCACTTCATGCTTCCTTCCGCAGACGAGCTTCATGGGGATGCTGACTTAATTTTCCAACAGGACTTGGCACCTGCCCACACTGCCAAAAGTACTAAAACCTGGTTCAATGACCGTGGGATTACTGTGCTTGACTGGCCAGCAAACTCGCCTGACCTGAACCCCATAGAGAATCTATGGGGCATTGCCAAGAGAAAGATGAGAGACATGAGACGGAACAATGCAGAAGAGCTGAAGGCCGCTATTGAAGCATCCTGGTCTTCCATAACACCTCAGCAGTGCCACAGGCTGATAGCTTCCATGCCACGCCACATTGAGGCAGTAATTGCTGCAAAAGGGGCCCAAACCAAGTACTGAGTACATATGCATGCTTATACTTTTCAGAGGTCCGATATTGTTCTATGTACAATCCTTGTTTTATTGATTGCATGCAATATTATAATTTTACTCAGATTGTGGATTTGGGATTTTCATGAGCTGTAAGCCATAATCATCACAAATATGACAAATCACGGCTTGAATTATCTTGCTCTGCATGTAATGAGTCTATCTCATATATTAGTTTTACCTTTTAAGTTGCATTACTGAAATAAATGAACTTTTGCACAATATTCTAATTTTTCGAGTTTCACCTGTACATTTGAATTTCTACTAATGCTGTTCCTTCTTTTATTAATCCTAGTTCTTTTTTTTACAGAGAATCACAGAAGGATAATATCATGACACATCCAGGTACTTAACCACTAGCCTACAGGGCACTTATACCCCCTTCCTGCCCAGGCCAATTTTCAGCTTTCAGTGCTGTCACACTTTGACTGACAATTGCGCGGTCATACAACACTGTACCCATATCAAATTTTTATCATTTTTTTGTGACAGATAGAGCTTTATTTTGGTGGTATTTAATCACCTCCTGGGTTTTTTATTTTTTCTTAAACAAACCAAAAACCACTGAAAATTTTGAAAAAAAAAACCCGTTTTTTCTTAGTTTTTGTTATACAATTTTGTAAATAAGTGATTTTTCACCTTCACTGATGTGCGCTATTGAGGCTGTAGGGATGGGCACTGATAGGCTCACTGATGGACACTGATAGGTGGCACTGATGGGCACTGATGAGGAGGCACTGGTAGGTGGCACTGATGGGCATTGACAGGCATCACCGATGGGCACGGAAAGGCAGCACTCATATATGGCACTGATAGGTGGCACTGACTGGCACTGTTAGGTGGCACTGACTGGCACTGTTAGGCGGCACTGATAGGCAGCACTGACGGGCACTGTTAGGTAGCACTGATAGGCAGCAGTGACGGGCACTGATAGGCGGCACTGATGCACACTGATAGGCGACGCTGACTGGCACTGATAGGTGGCACTGTTTGGCAGCACTGATAGGTGGCACTGACTGGCATTGATAGGTGGCACTGACTGGCACTGATGGGTGACACTGAAAAGCAGTTCAGATGGGCACTGATATGTGGCATTGATGTGCACTGGTAGGCACTGAAATGTGGCACTGATGTGGCATTGATGGGCACTGGCAGGTGGCACTGATGAGCACTGACAGCTGGCACTGATAGACACTGAAAAGTGACACTGCTGGGGCTACACAGATCATCAGGGTGAAAAAGTGTGTCTTATGGAGCGAAAAATACGGTAAACACATTTACTGTAGATCCATTTACAGGCATCAAGCGGTTTTTTTTTCTGCCACAAAAACGCCACTGCAGAACTGGCAGTGGGGTTTTTTTTTTCTGTCTCTAAATACTCTGTCTCTAAAGTGGAGGCTGTCTAATAAAGTGGAACTGGCTACTCCACATGGCAGGCCCTGTTTATATTCTATTACATTGGTTTATTGGGGGTCCTTTCCTCTCCTTTTTGTATGATCATTTTTTTGGCTTTGATGACAATTTGTCTTTTAGATTGAATCATTGGCTAGAAGAATGGACCATCAGATACAATAGGTGGCAGGCATGGATCCTAAAGAAGCAATTTAATAGCCATCGATTCTATACACCATTCTACGGACAGTTGTCTATGTCTAATATGCTTTCAGACACTATTTAGGATGCAGCTGCTTATACCAATTATGTAGATTTAAGTTGAATCAGAATTTGCGGATGGTCATGTATTAATCTATTATATAGACTGTGTTTTATCTGTACAATGATTATATTGTTGGTTTTCTATGTATGTGTTCGTTTTCTCTGCAAGGCACTTTAATGTCCCATTTTTCCCCCCACCCAATTTCTTTCAAGATGGAGGTTATTTTGGTTTGCTATATTATACCTGTCAAGATAAGTCCATCATCATCATCACACTAGAAAATATGTAAATTAATTCCTGCCCTTTTCAAAAGGCTAGTCAATGTAAAGTGATTTGTCCCACAATTTCTAAACCATGTTAAAGTGAAAACTCTGACCTATAATTTTGCTATCTGAACACATCTGTCTATTGCCGCTACTGGCCACGTTTACTGATTGCTAATGATAGTTTTCCTGTATGAAAGCAAATTCTACCTCTTAATCTATAATGCTAAGTGGTTATACATTTAGTGAACACACATAACTGTAGTAGCACCTTCTGTGAATGCTATAGAAAGAGCTTTATAACCACAAATTAGGAGGTGGACATTGGCTTTGCTGAGTGACACTGACATTCAGAAGTGACAGAAAAAAGCAAACAGTTTATTCAAAGGTATAATTAGCACTGATGGTTTCATTTAATAACTTCCTTCCGCTCTTTAGACTCAGTCTCCTCCTGTGTTGCTTATCTATCTAAATAACACAAGAGAATCAGGATTCTAGGCAGTTTCAATCTGAATTCTTTGAAGACTTAAATAAATTTTAAGGTCCATTGAGGAATTCAGACTCTATTGAACCACCCTACTTCCACTTGCTTTAGTTTTACTCCTAAATAACTATTGGGCTTACAGTAAGGGGGCCCTTAGTCAAGGTGTCTGCATACAGTCTGGTGTATTGCCCTACTGTTAGACCTGTGTTTCTACTGCTTACGTACAGTATATTGAAGTCTTGTATACCTGTGCTTATACTGCTTATGTATATTTGAAGTTTTGTATTGAAGTATAATTTGTGGCATTCTATGGATACATAAACCGCTTGCTACCCAGACCAATTCCAACATTTCTCATATGCATGTAAAAACCAGTATTTTTTTTTTCGCTAGAAAATTACTTACAGTAGAACTTTTGGAAAAAAAAAAACTTTAAAGAATGTTATTGCACACAACACTGTTTAATACCTATTTTTTTGTTCAAATATAAAAGATGATATTACATTGAGTAAATAGATACCTAAAACGTCATGCTTTAAAATTGCGTCAGTGGAAAGGCGACATACTACAGTACCTAAACATATCCATAGGCGAGGCTTTAAAAATCTTTACAGGTTACCAGTTTAGAGTCACACAGGAGGTCTGAGGCTAAAATTATTGTTCTCACTCTGACTTTCGCGACTATACCTCACAAGTGTGATGCGATCACCGTTTGCATATGCTTGCAGGATTTACGTAGGCATTCCTGTTTGTGCATAAGCAAGGGAGGAGAGGGCACTTCAATTTTTTTTTTTTATTATTTTTATTATTTATTTTATTTTAAACTTTTTTTCTACCGTCTTTCTTTTTTTTTAAATCAACTTTATTGCTTTCATGAGGGATGAACAACAGCCCTTGTGAAAGCATAGGCCATGACAGGTCTTCTTTATGGAGAGATCTGGGGACTATTAGACCCCAAATCTCTCCTATAGCCTCTAATACAGCTGATCAAATGCAGATCAGCTCTCAAAAAAGAACCAAAAGTGATGAAATCCTCGTCGCTTCCAGTTTCTACGGTCACAGAGAGGGAGGAACCACATCAGGAGAGCCCGGGAAAGGCAGCAGCAGGAAAGGGGGACACCCTTACACTGCCCGCAGAATTGATAGAGTTGCTGTTCAGCCACTTGAATCACTTCTGCCTTAAAGGGAATCACCTCTTGCATATTTTGATACCTGAATGATGATTGCAGGTACATGGCCGGTATAACCACTGAACCTGAAGACGTAATATGGCGTCCTACAGGCAAGACATTGTTAAGGCCCAACTCTGCACTTGCACTGCAAGAGTTTCTTTCTAAAGGGTGGGAAAGCAATTTTACTTACCTGAGTATCCACTCCTCATGTAGATGGCACTCCCCTAAGTTCCAGTAGTGGCCTTTCTCTCCCCTAAGTTCCAGTAGTGGCCTATCTCTCCCCTAAGTTTCAGTAGTGGCCTGTCCAGGGGTGGACTGACAACTCATGGGGCCCCCGGGCAATAGGGGATCATGGGGCCCCTGTGTCCTTGCCCAAACTCAAAAAAGCCTATGAAAAAGGTACCAGGGGCATCTCATGGGGCCCCCTACTGACCCCGGACCCTCGGGCAGTGCCGAGTTTCCAAATGGTCAGTCCGCCCCTGAGCCTGTCTCTCTCCTAAGTTCCAGTAGTGGCCTGTCTCTCTGTGTCTTCACTTCTAATGCTGGACCATGGGTCCAAAATCAGTTTTGATGATGCCATTGAAATTTAGACTGCATGAGTGCTGGTGAGAAGAGCCTGCAGGGACTGGTGTAGTAATGTTAAGGAAGCCTGTGGGAATAGAGGATTAAATAAGTAAAGTGCTGTACCTGGGCCCCCTAGACATGAAGGAGCAGTTTTCCTTACAGTGTGGGTGCATCCTTACTGCAAGGGAGGACTTTTATAGTTTTACTGAAGTACAACTTTAAAGCAAATCTGTGTTTTGTGAATGTTGAGTTCCACATCCAACAGCTATTCTTGGAGTTCAGCTTTAAAGCACTTTGGACAGTGATTGGATGTGGGGCTGAAAGGATAGTTCAGAGTCCAGGATTACAGCTAGAACCTTGGCATGCTGGGAGGGGTTGTTAGCTGAGCCATTGATTTTGATGGCAAAGTCAGGAGAAGGGGCACGTGGGTGATGAAATATTATGAGCTCACTTTTGGAAAGATTTCTTTTCAGGAAGTGGTGTGATATCCAGGTTTATATGTCCATTAGTAGATTAGTGATACGTGAGGAGACTGATTGAGTGAGCTGATGGGTAGAGAGATAGATATGGATGTCATCAACATAGAAATGGTATTGAAAGCCATGGGAGGTCCAAGAATAGAACCTTGGGGAACCCCAAAAAACAAAGGAAGAGGAGAAGCGGAAGTAGAATTATAAGTGAATTGCACTGAAGGTGCAGTGGGATAGGTAGGATGAGAACCAGCGAAGAGTACAGCCATGAAGACCAAAGGAATAGAGTTTTATGAGGAGGAGGGAGAGGTCCAATGTGTCAAAGGCAGCAGAGGGGTCCAGGAGTAGTAGTGCAGAATAGTGTCCATGGGTTTTTAACCGTTAGTAGATAGTTTGTGAGTTTAAGGAGAGCAGATATGATCATTATTAGAACTAGTATTTTACAGCTTGCTGTCTTTCGATGTGTGTTACAAAACTTGTGCTTTGCCCATGTAGGTAAAAGAATAGGATTACTTTAAAGGGTTAAACCTCATGCACAATGTGAATATTGGACAAATGATCATCCGTATATTTTTGAATGCTAGTCTTATATCGAAAATGAAGAGGTTACTAAAGTTACAAAATTTCTCGTACGACAGAATACAACTTCAGAAGTGATGTAACTATTGTGTTGTATTGTAATGTATTCTTTCGTTTCCGAGCATGCACAGTCTTGGTCACTTGATTTTTTATGGACGAACACTGTTCATTCTGGTATTGTACAAGAAATATTTTTGTGCTTGTCCCTTCAGATAATTTAGCATAAACTGTTGTGATTGGCTCTCGAAAGCTATGTACTAATGACAAGATTATCGGACGATCACTTTGAAAGTGGTATAGATAACAGTTGTCTGTAGATGATAAAAACTGTGCAGCTCTGACTAAAGTTGAATAATGAGAATACCCTGGCAGAGGTGAAAGGCATCATATGACAGCTGCTGGTGATGTCATTTCCAGCCGGTGAGGCGCACACCAGTGCACTACTTCTGGTTCGGCAATTTGCTTTGTTTTTAATATACCGTATATGTGAGTGCATTGTTTTTTGTCACACTTCTGCATTAAAAACGGAATCACATTATACAGATCTTCTATATTATCTTTCAGATATAGGTACCATGAGATAAATATACTTTGCTATGATCCCCTCCTAGATTGTAAGCTCGGAAGAGCAGGGCCCACGATCCCCTCATGTTTTGCATTGTATTGTATTGTTATTGTTCTGTCCCCCATTGTAATGTACAGTGCTGAGCGAACTATTGGCGCTTTATAAATACTGTATAATAATAATAATATAGAGAAGTGGGAAACAGAATATAAATATCCAGGATGACTCCAATCTGCAAACCATCCAAGGTTACCATAGAGACATATGACTCTTATTAATATCTCAGAGTCTACATGTTCTGATGAGTGAGTGGGCACAAAGGAGGGGAGCACCATAATTGCACTGTCACCAAAGGAATAGCATGAAGCAGTTTATGAAAATGTACAGATGCTTGTCACTGTCCGAATAAATGAAGAATCACAAGAATATGGACTTAT